ATGCTAATAATCTTGCAGGGTACTGTACAATAATCACACTTCCAAGTGTGAAGCACCAACACTTTAGAAGGAACAAAACAGATGAAACCCTGCAGTGACTCAGTTTGAGCAATTTATGCATAAAGCTTTCAAAATTACACCACAAAGAAGTCTAAATTTAGACTGGATTCAATAATGTCAGTATTTTGGCACCAAAAGGAGTGTAAAATCTAAATATATGGGCTAAAAAAACCCAAACACATTGCATGCAACAGGACAGGGATCTGTCTTGTGCCACTAAGGCTAAAATCCAGTGGTGGGGCCTGTAGAGAATATTCTTGTGGTGTTTTAAGGTCACTGGTAGCTTTTTAAAGCTCATCATACACAACTGTAACCTTTGATACTATATATATCTCCTGGCAATAAAACCCCTATGGAAATAAGTGTCAATTCTTGTATATTCTTTCAATTCTAAAGACTGAAAGGCATCCTCATTGCTAAAGATTCTGTGTAGAATCTTTGCTTAATGCAGCCCCATTTGGGACAGGGATATAATGGTCAGACTGCACATCCACAATGTACAGCCAAAATGCCAGGACAAAACCAGAAAATAAATTAAAACTCAAAAGTCTGTTAGCAAACCAGATTGGGGCCTCTGCAACAGGGGCTGCACAACTGGATGGAGGAATTCTGGTTCACCACCTGGACTCTTAGGCATGGTGGTGAGCCAAACAATAATGGTAAAATATACCAAGAAAAATACTTAGGTTTTTGGTGATATATTAACAAGGCCTTTTTAATTTTACTGTCATGCTTATAAAAAACCAGATGCTTTCGTTCATGTGTTGGGAAAGGTTTTTTAGTTTGCTCAATCCTGGGAGCATTTGACCCCATTTTAAAGATAGTGGTTTCCATCATGTACATTGCACTTGCTTAAAAGAATGTCTTCCCAAGCTCTAGTACAGCCCTATCTTAATGATTTTAACTTGAAAGGTACCTTGCTCATTCAATTTGTGACCCGCCATCACATGTTTTCAAATCTTCATAATATAAAACGTGAGAAGTATTTACCTGCCCATGCAGTTTTACAGTCACATCTATCTTTATATTTCAGTTCTTCCTCTAAAATTCAAGCACAGTAAACAGCCTGAACACACTGAGACTGTATTCAGAGTTCAACTTCAAAATGCAAACAGAAAAGGGATGCATGGTAGTATCCTTTTCACACATGGGCTGATCCAAGTGACTCAGGTGAAAAGTGAACAAAGAGTTAATCCAAACGCGAAGGGCTCCATTTCAGTAATAGCATGAATAAACCCCCACAGAAGGCTCCATTGCTAGCAGCAAACTCCACAGAGTCCAGATGAACCAGCAGGAAGAACAGAGGGCGGATAATCCTGTAAAATTACCCCAGTGGAAATGTTGATAAATTCCCAATTACGAGACCTGCTCTAGAATGAAAAAAAATGCGAGATACAATACAATTACCAGTCAACACTTGCACATCTTTGTATTTAAGCCAGACAAATACCACAGGTATTTCTTAATCCCTTGAATTTTGAATTAGTTACCCACTGTGGTGAAATCTAGATTAAGAAAATAAGCCCCAGAAATCAAATGAAAAAACAGATGATCTGCAACTCTAGCTACAAAGCAAATACCCATCTGTGAAGTTATATTTTCAGCCATACAATTTTCTACGCATTTGTGGAAATACAGAGAGCTGTATTTAAAAAAAAAATTCAAAATAAACAAACAAAAAACCCTGCCTACAAAAACCAACAAAACCTTTAGTTTACTATATTTGTTTTGAATGTTTGTTTATATATATTGGAAAAAGTAAAGTATGAAAGAATTACTGAATTAGTTAGGTTGGAGAAGACCTCTGAGATCATCGAGGCCAACCCAGGACTATAACCTAGCAGGTTTCACGTGAATTTTAAATGTCCGTGGAAAAACTGCTGGTAAAATACGTGTTCACCATCCATATCAAGACAGAGACAGGTGCATAGATATCTCCTTTTCTAAAGCCTTGTCTGATCCCAGGCTTATCGCTCTCCATAAAATTCTGGATGAGGAAGGGAACGCCACGACAGGCCGTGGGGGTGCGGGAGCTCCCCGTCGCCCGCTCCCGTTCCGCAGTCAGCCCAGGCGTTCATCCCTGGGCAGCCGAACCGAGGCAGTGACCCCACTAGCACCCAGCCCGTTTATGGAAAGACGACTACCAAATATTCCACTCCAAATCCCGGTCCCGCCGCCGCCCCCCGCCCCAATTCCCTCTGTTTATCCCCTGCATGCGCCCGTCCCGCGGCCTCGCGCGCCCGCCCCCCGCGCGCTCCCATTGGCCGCCGCCGCTGCCACTCACGGCCCCCGCGCTACCTCATTGGCCGCCTCCGCTGTCAGTCACGGCTCCCCCCCGCCCGCCCCGCCGCTCCCTCCGCCGGAACGAGCGAGCGCCGCTGCGGCCCCGGCGCCAGCGCGGCCGCGGCTCCCGCTGCCGGCGGGGAGGGGAGGGGAGGGCCGGCAGGGACCGGCGGCTGCCGCGGCTCCTTCCGGAGCAGGCGAGGCGCTCCGCCGCTGACAGGCAGCGCTGGCTGCCGCCCCTCGGTGCGCGCCCAGCCAGGCGGAGCGGCCTCCCCTCCGGCGGGGGAGGCAGCGGCGCGGGGCGCCGCGCGCGCGGAGGGGTGGACGGGCAGTTCTCTCCCCCCCCACCCCCGATTGATGTCATTTCCCTCTCTTGCCTTTTGTTTTAATTATTTTAAACTCGATCGCACGGTGAGGGGAAAAAAAACCACCACCACAACAACAAAAAAAAAACCCGATACCAAAACAACGGCAATAATAACAACAACAACAAAACAACACACAAAAAAAATCCCCACCAAAAAAAAAAACCAACTCCCCTTCAGAAAAAAAAAATAAAACAAAAAACCACCGAAAAACTTCAGGCTCGCAGATGCCATTATACTAATTTCTCTTAATTGCCTCCCCGATGCAAACACAGCCGGGCTCCTGCGCGGCGCCGCCCGGCCCGGCTGCCTCCCTGCCTCCCTCGCTCCGTCCCTCCCGCTCGCCGGTGGGCGCTCGCCGGGCCCGGGCCGGGGGTGCGCAGCCCCTTCCCCGCCGCCCCCCGTTCCAACGCCGCCGTTCCCCGCCGCCCCCCCGGGGCGCGGAGCCTCCCCCGGGCGGTCCCACAGCCGCGGCTGCCCAGGCCCAGCTCCCCCCGGTCCGGAGCCCCCCCCACGCCCAGAGGGGGCCTCTCCCCCCCATGACACCCCCGAACGACCCGGGGGGCTCCCCCCCACTGAACTCCGAGGGGGGGGGTCCCCTCGCCGCGGTACCGCCGCTCGCCCCTCACACACACTCACACACACACACACACACGCACAGCGCACCCCCCCCCGCGGTGCTGCCCCCCCGGGCTGAGCCCCCTCCCCTCCGGGCCGGGCGCCGGGGCCGCCCCTACCTGTGGCTGCAGCATCCCCGTCCCCCCGCCGCCCTCGCTCCGCCGCCTGCCTGGCTCTTTGTTTCCTGCCGCGGGCCGGACGGGAGAGCGGCTCCCCCCCGCCTCCTCCTCACACTCATTGAAAGCAAACAAGCATCATGGCGGCGCTGGCGGCGGCGGCGGCTGCGGGCGGGCCGGCCCCCCTCCTCCTCCTCCTCCTCCTCCTCCTTCCTCTCCCTCTCCTCCTCCTCCTCTCCCTCTCTCCGCCCCGCCTGCCCAGGCCGCCCGCACTGCGCGGCCGCGGAGAGGAGCGCGGGGAGGGGGCGCAGCAGCGCCGGGGAGGGGTGGGGGGGAACGAGGAGGGAGGAGTTTTGGGGGGGATTTTGGGGTACGGCCTCGGGAACCGGGGAAAGGGGGAGGGAAGTGGGTGAAAGTAACGTCACGAAACCGGTGCAAGCGGTGTATGGCAGGGAAAGGGTTCCGAGCAGGAGCGAATGGAAATAGCCGCTTGTTTGGAAAAGAACTTTTAAAAATTCTCCTGCAAAAGCCCAAATCGGGAGCTCAGCCTTGCAGTGGATGAGCTCAGGCACGGTGCGGGTAGTGGGCCTGGATGCATTTTAGGAAAGGGAATATATTTTCTACGTTTGTGTCTTTGCTGGCAAGCCAGGGCCTCGGATCCTCTGCTGTGACATTTTCAGAAACAATGTTTACCGTGAAATGTCCCCCAGAACTGCCCAGCAGCACCTTTCTGAAACTCAGGTTGTGGCTTGTGTAATGTTTTCCCTTGAACAGATTAATGGAGGCAAACAAAGATATTTAGAAAAATAAAGCATGTTCTCGTTAAATGTTGTTATTACTGTCCCTGTGCAATAAGACTTAACAGTATGATGAGAGATGCTAAGGGAAATGGTGGCAAAGTGCCATCCGTGGTGTAGTGTTAGCATAAATCATAAATAATGACTTCCAAATCAAGGATTTCCTCAGTTTTTCAGAGAGTTAGAATGTTCAAGCATTGGTGATGCAGCAGCAAATAAGCAATTGATACACACCACCTCATCCAAAGGAATAGTAAAGAAAAAGGCATTGTCCCACATATAGAACCCTGTTTCTGGTCTGGGAAAGCTGAGTAAGAATTGAAGGCTCCTCTGCTTAGGTATAACTGGATATGTAGCTGGAAATAAGTGGCACTTACACTGTTGTGCAAACAAGGCATTCTCTTTTAACATAATTCCAGGGAGAACGGTACCTGGTCGAGTTTCTGAGAAACACCACCACAAACCAGCGAGGGCAGTGCTTTGAAAAACATGACTTTGGCCTGCTGCAGACCAAACCCGCTCACAGAACGTCCTCCACAGAAACGTTGAGCCCTTTGACACTTTTTTGGAAATAATCCTGCTATACTTCAGATTTCTGTTCAGCCTTATCAGATCATGTATCTGAAATGCTCTCAGATGATAAACTATCTCCTCGCCGCATGGTGCAGTCCTGTGCTGGAGATACCCGAGCCTGCTCCATTACGGATGTGCCCAGGCTCTGGCAGAATATCCTATCTGCTTCCCAGGCTTGGCTGGCTCTGGAGAGCTGACAGTCATTCAGAACTAACTCGAGTAGCTCTACATGTCATTCTCCTGCACTGCATGTCTTTTCTTTCCGATAAGCAGCTGTCCTGCACATTCTTCAGTTAATACTTTCTGGGTCAGATATGGCTTCAATAGACTATATCGTTTTGCCCAGAGCTAATTCTCCAAAAGCAGTAGGAAAGTCTTTGAATACGTTGCAGGATTTTCCAGGAATTGCTGCTCAGCAAAGAAAATTTAGTTGATCATAAGTCTCTCGAAAAACGCTTGCAGGGAAACTTCATTCCTCAGGGATGGATGCTGGGGTAATATTACATTAGACGTGGAAAGGTCTACTGGCAAGGGCCTTCATTGCTGCAAGTGGAGAACAAATGGCAGAAAATACTGTAATTCTCAGATAACTGAGATAAGCAAAAAAGAGCATTAGGGGAAATAATTTAAAAGCAATTAAAAATAATTCTGTATTATTGCCTGTTACTCAGAGTAACAGGAGGTCACAGCAGTTTGGCAGGTTTCAAGTTAATGAACTTTATGATAACGCTACAAGTTGTTTATAAAAAACCAGCAATATTTGAAGAGCCTAAAGTTATGGCCTTTTATGTCAACAATTCTTCTTTGAACTGCCAGCTTATGTGGTTTGAAACAACAGAATGAAGTAAAAACAGGTATGTGGGGTTTTTTTTTAGAAACTGTTATGTTCTACTGAATTTCCTGTGCAGAAGTGCTGCTGCTCATCTGTACATGTGATTAACTTTTGCTCCCTGAAAGTGTTATCAGACCTGTAACCAGGCAAACAGCAGAGCAGATGGCCAGTGCCAGTATCGGTGTTTCTGGTCTGGGTGTTTAATGAGATCTGAGAGCGTAACATGAGCCTCTTTCATTTTGTCTGCCTCGCATGGCAGATATACTTGGTGCAAGTGCTCTTGTTGCTCAAGGTCACAGATTCATCAATCAAAAGAGAGCCCTTCCCATTAATCTTTTACCTGCCCATGACAGTTTCCATACGTCTCCGGAGCTGCCACGTCCCATGGAATGCCGTAGTCCCGAGTTTGGGACAGCACTGCTGTGAAAGACAGCCAGGTTAGAGCAGAAATTAGTCACTTTTTAGAACACAATGTTAAGGTTACCGTACCCTGAGCATAAGTTTTCATTCATTAACCCTAAAAAGAAAAGCCTTTCTGTGCTGTGCAATAGGCCTTCAGTTGGGCCAAATCTCACTTGTGGCACACAATCACATGTCCCACATGATGAAGGTGAATGTCCTACAACGTTTCTGACCTTACAGCTGGAGATAGAAGTATGTAATGTGAGTAGTTTAAAGACTTTTAGCATCCCCACCATCTCCTCTGTTGCACACATCCAAGGCTCAAGTTCTGTCTGGGAGGCCTCAGGGAGGGCCACTTGGTCCATCTCACCAACACTTACAGCTGGTTCGAGGTCCTGGTGCCTCTGTGCACTGACAGAGGGATGTGAAACTTGTGGTAGAGAGTTATCTTTGTGGCTGAGCTATGATGCTTTCTGCTTTGTTTAAATTGCCAAATTTGGTGAAGTTATAATCTTAAAGTATCTATGTACAGTTGCACAGTAGAGGCTTGTTTGACTTCTAAGTTCTTTGTAGTAAAAGACATATCTTCATCCTGCATGGCTCATACATCATCACCCCAGAGAACAGGCACAGAGGTGTCATGGCTTATGGAAGCTCATGTGTCTGGGGTCACAAAAGAGGTGGCCAAGGAAAGGCTCAGTCCTCTCTGCTCCCCCCCTTCTGTGCCCAAGAAATGTGACAAAACCAAAGTAACTGGAGGCAGGAAATGAATTGAGCAGAGTTATGGTAAAGTAAGGGAGATAATGAGAGGGAAAGAAGGGAGTAACTGGGAGAAGAAGGAGAGGGATCCCGAATAGGAGGGCAGAGCTTAATTATGGTCTACATTTTTAGTCTATGTAGGTAGAGAGACAGGAAACTGCAGGATAGCTTCCATGGCAGTTGAGATCAGTGGGATAACTGCTCTGAACATGGGATATGCCTAAAATGACAGGTACTCTGAAAAATGAGGACTTGGAGCACTCATATTGTGCTTCTGAAATCATTGCATTTTTAATGATTTCAGCCTTAAGTTTTATGGCCTGTTCTCCATCTACAGAGTGAATGTAAGAGCATCTTCTGTCACAGCTGGATAGTAAAGATAAATCTTTGATGTTTATTGAGCATTAAAACTACAGTGAAAGCTCCATACAGAAAGCATTGAGGCAATTAATATTCCTGCTTTCCTCTGCATGGAATGGAGTTCAGTGGTTTCCAGAAGACTTGTATGTAAAAAGGTAATTGAAAACTCCCCTTATGCATATCCACAACAGAGATGAATTCAGGAATTTTAATCCTGGAATGGCACAATTTGTAGGTAAGGGCTTTGCAGCCTTAGAATTACTTTAATATCCATTGTTAGACAAAAGTAGACTAAGTGCTTAAAAAGAAACTGAATAAGATCAAAAGCTTTCTTTCTAGAAATAACTGCATTTTAGTAGGAAGACTTCCATAGTGAGAGAAGAGTTTCTAACTCCTTTTTGCCAGGGATGGATGCTACTATTTAACACTGCCACCACCTGAGATGCTTGTATACCATGTTTAGATGACTCTTCTAATTATTTAGATATTTGATTTTTTATCAGGATTGTAGCAGTTTAAAATGAATCTTGTTCTCTACCTCAAGTTTCCAGGTTTGTGGAGCATTTAGTCATTAATATATTCTAGTGTGTGCATTTGTGCTCTGCTGTAGCAGTGAAGTAACAGATCTGAGAATGTCTTAATTCTTACTTGTCCTAATCAAATATTAAAATCTGAATGCTGTTAAGAAGCTGGATTTATGAACCATGATGTTGTTTACCTCATTGCCATTTTTCAGATTGATTCATTTTTCAGGCTGATTCTTACAGATTTTTGTCTCTAGAATCAGCTCTCAACTCTCGGTCACCTGTCTCCAAGAAGGTATCCATCTTTTTATATAAAAAACTAAGTTAATTACATGAAAGAAAAAGTTAAAGGTATGGCCTGTGTGCATTCATTATGTGGGCAGAGCTCCTGGTTGCATTCAGAGCTCTGCAAAAGGAGCACAAGGCTTTGCCTTTCACAGCAAGAGCTTTTATGTATGTGAGTGAATAGAGCAAATTGCTATGAAAACCTGAATGCCCAGTTATGGAGTCACAACTTAGAGGTTAAATGCCAAATAATGGTGTTATTGATGTAAGATGGAAGAATTCTCATTAGTGGAAAGCAAGTGCTCAGGCAAACCCATCCAGATTTTTGGTCTTTTCTGCCATACCCTCTTCCCTTTGTACCCATTTTGGCGGGTTTTTTTTCCCCTTCTTCTGTCAGCATCTTATTTTTCATCTTTATTCATTGTTGCTTTCTATGCTTCTCCCTAGCAGCAGAAACATATTTACTGGCAAGCTGATCCCATCTGTGCTCCCGCGCTGTAAAGCTTCCCCCCGCCGTGGCACTGCACGTCTGATGGAGCTTCCTGCCATGGGTAGGAAGCTCCAGCCTTCCAGAGTGCCAGGATTTCCCACCGTGGATCAGGGATCAGGTGGGCAGGGCACCGCCGACTGGGCATGGTCTAAAAAAAAAAAAAAAGAAAGAAAAAAAAAAAAAAAGAGGGTGTGGAGTTTTTCTTGTGTAAGAAAATGCAATAATACCGTAATCATTTGTCGCCTGACCGTTCGCTGGAATGGAGGACTGCTGAACTTTTAATTTAATTGGGCCTCTCACGCTTGCACTGCTTCCTGCTCATGAACCAGAATATATGAGGACTATAACTCAAATATACACTAAGCTGTCCCTGCTGCAGTCTCATCCCTTGCAAATTAAGTAGGATCAGGACTCAAAAGAGATAACCAAGGAGACCGATGTCCTGGAGGAAATTACCGTGAATTACAAAATTATGGTTTCTCTCTTAATAAAAAATGAACTAATGCTCCAGTGTGACACTATGGAACTCTTCAGTTTATAAAGGTACTGTCTTTCAGGAAATATATATGTTAATCCAGCTGTCATGCATAAATTCTCATTTGGGGCCTGATCTAATTCCCATTGAAGTAGAGATGGACTCAATCTACTTAAATTTCTCCATGCAGTTTCACGGCTTTCCACTATCTTCATCTGTTGTATCACATTACTGTGTGTGGGTAGAGTTGCCACATTCCACCCATGACACAACTGTTTCAGTGGCAAGTGAAGTGATACGTGCATATGGTACACGCAGTCTTTACACAAACCGTATGCTTTCAGACAGCTATCTGTGTAATTGGGGGAAGTTTTAGAGGCTTCCTGAATAAAAATCTGTTTGCTACATTATTAGAAGATGTAGAAAACTTTGTTTATCATTCCCATGACCTTACTTGTGGCATTTGTGGGACAGAATGAGTGATTTATTGTTTACCTTTTGTAAATTTGTAACTCAGATTAATTACTTTGAATAGCAATAAAATGGTTGCATGAAGATTTTGGAATTGATCTCTTTCATTTTATTATTTATTGCATCAAATCTTAGGCCTAAATTTTGCTTATATAACAGTAATTAACTTCACACAATTTCCAATTACAGTTATACATAGTCTTCGTGCTTCACATTTCCAAGATGTTGAATGTCCTCATTGCTGAATGTTTTGTATAGGATATCATTATTTATCTGAAGAATTTTGGCTGAGGACAGTTTCTAGTGGAAAAAAAAACCCTCCAGAGAATTTATAAAGTACACTTTAATCCTGAGGCTATTATAGGCCTACTATTCTTTTTTTTCTTTTTTTCATTGGTGGTTGCAAAAATAAATTACAAAATGACTGAATAAATTTAGCTGGTCGTTAAGTGTGGCTATTTCTATATTATCTGAATTGACAAAATACTTTCCTTAGGACATTAGGTTTGTAGAGAGGGGGAGCAACCTAAATAAGTGTGGGCATGTACGTGCCTGTGAGCTGCTCACCATAGGGTGCCCCTGCAGCCAGAGGAGGCCACGGTACAGATCCTTGGGGCTGTAATTTCTTTTCGAAGGCTTTGATGGCAGGCGTTGGAGCTGAGATTATGAGATTGGAAGAGGTTTTTTTCCAAGCATGGGGAGACCTCAGTGGGCTGAAGGGTATTCACTGCTGCAGAGGGGAGAGGGTGACAGTGTCTGCAGCTAAAAGTCTGCACCACGGAACAGCTCTTGCTCAGAAAAAAAGGTGAAAATCATTACCTGCTTCCCAGGTGATCACTGCAGGTGACAGCAAGAAAATTTGTCCAACGTTTACAGCTGGTGTTTGGGGTGGTACATTAAGGCTTTTCCACTCCTCCTGAAATATTAGGCACTTTGAATAAATGCCTCCAGGAGGGGCAAAATGCCAAGTTGAACAAACCACTGATCTAACCTGCTGGTTTTTTCCTCTGTGTCCAGAATTGTTGGTCTGCAAGATTAAAAAAAAACCAAAAAAACCAAAAAGTTGCAGGATAAAAAAAAAATATCATAATGTTTGAGCCTAATGCAGCAGGCTCAGGCTAAATCACATTTCCCAAAGTGTGGCTTTCAATATCAAGCCTACTCCTGAGGAACTGGCAAATGCTCAACGAGCACAACATGGAGACAACTGGCAGCCTGAGTCATTTTCGCATGTGATTGTTGAATGTGACAGATTGAGAATAGCAAGGAGTACGAGTTCATGCTATGAGAGTGAAGTAACCCAGCATCCTCTCGCTGGCTCGAGCCTGCAGAGATGTGGAGTGCTGCGGCAGAGAAATGCCACCGAGGCTTTGGAGAAACGGGTTTAGCACACATGTTATTTTCTTCGTTTGCTCATTTTTATTCCACCCTAGAATGTTTCTTTCTTCTGTTTACGGCAGATGGAAAGTAAGAGAAGAACCCTTGACACGTGTTTGTAAAACCTGGATTGACATTAACTTATTCCCCTTTTTACTTTTTCTCTGAATACCTTTTGCCTTTCTACTTACACTGATGCTGTACTGGCCTTTTTATTCCTTGGTAGTTACTGCTCCAGCACATTGGCTGCACAGCAACAGTTTCAGGGGACACTTGTTTGTAGAAATGGTCCCTTCCAAACCAACCTGGTGGGGTTTCCTTTCAGAGTAAACTGCAACAGGCTGGGGAAGTCCAGGGAAGTTACCAAAAATCTCTGCTGAAATCCAACCTTCTGTTGCGGCCGATCAGAATATTATAGCTTAGTAATTTATTAATTAAATGTAACTATGCTTTATTTTCATACGCGTTCTTGGAAAAGGCAACTTCTTCCCGATTTCTTATTCATAAATATTCAATGTGTGATCTCTGCCAGCACAGCTGAGCACATAGGCTGGTCTGTTTGGGACATGTCTGTAATGTGTCCTGCATTGAGCTGGTGTTTGGAGTCTGCTGCTCACCTCTATAACACTGTATGTGAGGAATTACTTCATTTAATCCTTGTAAAACAGTGTGCTTTGTTAATTAGTTGCAGAGGTGGTTTGAGGATGTTGGATGAGAGGCACCATGGAC